GTGCATGCCCAGACCGTTCATTTTACCCGTTAGAATGCTGATTCTCGATCTCTTGGGAATTGTAGGCAAATCTGGGACCTTTTCGTCTTGCTTGAATAATCCATCTTCCAGCTTCGCCGGTGTTCGTGTAATGATGGTGTGATAGTCGCGTCCCTTCGCCGCACTGCCCAACTCCGGTCGATCTGAACTAGAGGGCACTGGGACAATCCGCCACTGATGATGCGATAGATCCGAAAGGAGGTCGGTCTGCATGCTCACAGGGGGTGACCACGCCATGAAGCTTTTTCGATTGAGATTGAGACTGGAGAGACTCGATCGTAATCCCGCACGGCGACGTTTTGCCATGATTATGGCGTCAAAGAGGGCTATCGAGGGACTTGATGTTTTCTCTTCACGGTCCATGATAAACTCATTCCAAGCTTGAGTTTGTTGCAGCATTCTCATGTAGGCTGCATGGTCAGGAGTTAGACTCCTCGTGAAAGCGTCATTGTCAAAAGAGTACACGGCTCCGAGCTTCTTTTTCTGTGGAGGTGCGGGGTGCATGGATTTCCGGTAGGTATACATCAAGCTGGCCATACATCGCACAAACGCGGCGCGGATCTGGTCAGGGTAAAAGGCCGCAGAGCAGACAACGGAAATGTTATGGACGCAGCGATCGTGAATGACAAAACCACAACCCGAACATCGGTAGTATCCATCTGTAGCCTTGTCGTCGCAGAGAAGACACGTGGACGGACCATCCGCTGCTCTCCATTGCAGACAATGACCTTCAGACCAATATGTACCTTCACCATTCCGTACGAGTTGTGTATTCGTTCCGGGCATGATTGTAGAGGCCGCTAGCGTTGACTGCGCATATGTAGACGGCGCATACATTGATCCATTTCGATTTTCCGAAAGCGTCGTACTAGAAGAGGGACTCGCGCTGTGTTTCACAAATGGAAGGCTAGCTTTGCGAATCATATGGCTAGATCCAGAGAAACTTCTTTTTGACAATGAATCGAAATGACCAGATCTCTTCTCCTTGAGAGAAGTCTGAAGAGCGTATCCCGAATCGGTCCGCGACGGACCAGAACCAGGCGTCAGCGGGAAGTTAGGGGTGATGGGGGACTGGCCCTCTGAATCTGTGAACGTAGAGTGTCGGGCAGTCGACGATGTTCTCGGACGATCAGCGCTCTTCCCTCTTGTTGGGGTGGAAGCAAGAAAAACGTTCAACAGGGGCGCCCGTTGAATGGTGTCCGTAGCGGCTTGCGGACCGAACGTAGTGGAGCTGAGGCTCGCAAGTTTGTCTAGATTCGTGGATTTGGCCACCGCGGTGAAAGTAGACTCGATTTCGGCAGAAAAGCCATTATACGGGTATGTCTCCACTGCATACGCAGGTGGTCCCGGAGTCACTCCAAAATTTTGATGAAGTGGTGCAGCTTGATAAAGCAGAGACATCAACTTTCTCCGCTGCTGCTTCGGTAGAAATGGCGGCGGTGCCGTACTGTGCAACTCATTCTTATCCAAATCGACCAAAACATAATCATCATCAGGAAGGTCGTATTTCTCGTATTTACGATCGATGCCGCAGATATAAGGACAAGGCGCATCCAAGGCTTGGACCAAGCGCGATGGCAGCACTGGGATGTAAATTCCCGTCCATTCAAAGGGCCAAATAAGTTCCAAAATAGCTTTACTGACTAGTTGCAGCATCGCGACGTGAGTTGAAAGGAGAATGATCCTGGATTCGGACAAGACGTATTCCAAAAGAAGGATGATATTGGGAATCGCGAGGCTTCGGAAGAGAGGGTACAGATCGGTCGTCCGGCTGCCCGGGAGTTCATTTGCCGCTTCTTTCTTCGCATATAGTTGGAGCTCCCGTATCGAGATCTGGACTTGGGTTTTGGACGATACTGGACTGGGTGCCTCGAGGCACAGCGCTGCCACGTATCTCTCTAATGGCTGCCACATGCCAACTTTAGGAGAGCTGGCGGGCACCCGCAAAACTCCACCATCAGTCATTGGGACAACCACCGCCCGAAGCCACTGCCTCCAGAAGTTGGCCATGGCCTTGTCCTTTCCCAAAATACCATACGCTCTTGGGATCCAGAAGCGCGTTTCGCCACCGGCAAGCCCCTGGATGTCCGATTCCGAACTGTGTCGTAATGGTCTGAGCATGTCAGACATGACAGCAATTTTCTCCTCGACTGTGCCGATCTCCTCCTCCAAGGCTTCTCTTTCCGCTGAATCCGGGGAAAGTTGAGGCAGTTGGGTGAGCAACCTAGACAGTTTCGCACTCTCCACCGCCAATCTATCAGCGAGAGACGTTGCCATTTCCCTCTCTGCCTCCGACATATGAGCCTTTCTCCATTGCTCACATCTCTTTTCCAAGTCGATGGCAAGGTCGCGGTTCACGGGGATCCATATTATGACTGCTACCGCGGTAAGTCTCGAGTTGTCCGCTGCAGTCATGGAGAATTCGTGCCAGATGGACTTCGGTTTGGTCTCCGCCGCCACAATTTTGATATCATTTGGGAACGCGAACATGGGCACATAATCCGGAAATGGACCTCTGCTCTGGGCTTTGTCGCAAGCGGTAGGTCGAGGATATCTCTCCAGCAATACAGGTTCGAATTTCCGCGTCAGGGGATACTGATCAGGAGAACTGTGGAAGGTCTCAGGGCTGGGGATGACTGAATTGTAACTGCTCATCCTGCGTGAGGTGCGCGTTGACGTCCTTCGGGCCATAGATGGTTGGCGTTTCGTGCTAGACATGTCTTTGAAAGAAAGATGTCTGCGGATGCTTCCAAAATTGCGGTTGGGCACCGGGGTTGACTCATCCTGGGCAATGATTTTCTGAGTTTTGGGTCGCGACTTGGATCGGGCTGGTTTGGTATTTTCGGTCGGATGGAATGTCAAATCCAGATAGAAGGCGTCTCGGTCGGTGGCGAACTTGCTCATCGCTTTCTCAAAATCTGCCTCTGATATCATTGAGGACATTCGAGCATCGGCGGCAGGAGCAGCAGCCCGGATAGTGAGACTACTCCGGTTGCTGCGAGGCCTGGTTGCCTCTTCGAGACTCTGAATAGTCTCCCTGGCTTCATCGGAGAGCTGTGAAAGTCTCTGGTAGGAGTCACGTCTAGAATGGCTGACCGAGACGCGCGGAGACTGGAGAATTGACGACTGCTCATTGTCGGCAGAGACCTCTTCTTTGATGGCAAAGTCGACTCCATTAGCGTCAATGTGATCGTAAGACCATCGTGGTTGAGAGAAAGCGTCTACAACCTGTTGGCTGTCTAGGCCGGCAATCCAGAAGTAATCGGCAAGTGGTCGAGACGACTCGGGGATTTCTGGCGTCGACGGCATCTTTCTTTCTCTTTTTTTTTTTTTTAGCTTGAGGTTGCCATCAGCTCACCCAAGGATGGTCAATGGGTCTTGATACCGGCATCAGAGACTGGCTGGTTAGAAGGGATTTGGCTTTCGGAAATTTTACTGTTGTTTGCTTTTCCCCCAAAAGATTTATTTTCTGTCAAATCTGCACGGGCATTCTTCACCCTCGCCGACAGTGTCCGTGCCCTCTTCACTGAAAGTAGAGGTGGAGCGTCGGATGCGGCCTTCCTTTGGCCTTGACACAGAAGTGAGGAGCCCTAGATATGGCGGCCAGCCGACCACGAGCTGCGGGAAGGGGAGAGTAAATACGAGGGACCGTCTGAGATGCTGGATGGAGGTGAAATGTTTTTGGTCTGGAGACCAAGGATCCGTCAAACGTGGAGATAAAGAAGGTTGCAGGGATCCTCTGGCTATGGGGGAGGCGCCTCCCTGCCCCTAGGCTGATTTGAGTGCCCGTAGTGGAAAGGACTGTGGCGGCCACAGGAATCGACGATCTCTGATCGGTTGTTGACTGCAGCCGCTACTGGTATTGCCAGGGGGTGAAGAAGACGTTGGGTGGTGGATGGATGGTGAAGGTGCGTCGTCGTGGTGGTGGTGATGGCGGTGATTTGAGGTCTGCAACTGTCACCTTCTGTCTCTCCTCTTCGAGGGCCGTGGGAAAGGGGAAGCGCCGAAGCATGCAACGGGGATCTTCAAGTCAAGCAAACAAAAAAAACTTTGATATCGTCTGCACAAAAGTTGTCTGCATCTGTATCTGGATTAGGAGTGTGCCACTTGGCGGCATTGGTGGCACCTGTCACGCTGGCCACATCTCTGGGGTGGTGCAGATGGTGGGCCTTCGAGCACGTCTATTTAGGCTAGTCGTCACTAAGAGGGGCGTCACTAGCGCCGTTGTCCAGTTAAAGAAAGGTGGTCCGTTAAGCCTACGGCGCCTATCACTTTTAGCTGGTTTCACCTCCATTTAGGCTCACTAGACCTTCACAGCCCCTGGAGCTTACAAGAGTCAAAGCGGGCTGCTGGTGGCGTCCATCTCCATTTCGGCAGGGAGGGTTCCAACTGTCCCGACTCCTGCAAGGGGCTTTGCATTCGCTTCCAGACTTCATGCTTTTTCCTTCCATGCAGTGTCTGCAATGTCACCGCAAACGGCTCGACATGATGCGTGAATCCTTTGTACATGCGCGGCTGGAACGAATTGTCATTGATGTCTGCCTAGGCTGTAGTACAGCTTCCTTCCAATCAGAGCCGATGCGCGTGGCATAAAGATGATGCTGTTGCAAGTCTCGTTCAAGACGAGGCACCAGTTGAATATCACCTCCTTCACACCTCTTCCTGTGCGAGTGTTGACCACAGCCACTTTGCGCCTCAGAAGCCCTGAACTCGCCGTCACAGTCCCATTGACCTCTTTCTTGACTTTCCTTCACGAGAACACGGAGAGCAGAGTACCCTTCTGCCTCCAACAATGAGCAACCAGCGGCTAGTGCCGGGTCATGAGATCTTGGAACTGCTTCGCACCCACCGTCGCCCAGGCTATCGACAACACCTGTGGTGAAGAGGTGGACAAGCAGCGGTAGACGATGGACGACGTGCTGAGCTTGTCGATCCTGCCAATGCCGACAAGACTCGGCCGTCTAATATCTCGGACCACAGAACTTCTCTCTCGTGACGCCGATCGAGGCCAAGTCCAACTTTGCATAAGCGGGCGTTTTGCTGGTCGCTTTCCGCACAATTTGCGGCTTCAAGGTAACCGCCTTGTCCTCACGCTCCTCATTTGTCGGTCTCTGCACGTTGTTCTGGCCCTCAACCTTTACAGCACTGATATTGCGGATCGTCTTCTTGCGTCCGCGCGCTTCTAGCCTTACTAGCCCGTACCCACGAGCAACATCAGCTGGGCCACCGTTCAGCGCAGCGATGAAAAGATTGATTCTGTCGTGGAGGTCGGGAAACTCTTCACGCAGCGTCCAGAATGCGCTTTTGGCCCTGAGTCGGTTCTCCCAGAATCGAATAGCGATGTGCGCGACAAGGAACGTTCTCCTTTCTTCGTTCGGGGCCGCAACGAGCCAAAGAGCACGAACGTCCTGAGTGGATTTGTTCGACAGACAAGCGCTCCATTCTTTTCTTTGCTCGTTTGTTAAGGATATCGCATCAGATCGACGCAGCGCATTCGTGGATGAAGAATTGGTACGCATATGGTTTTAACTTTTGATTTGGACCTGGGCATAGCCAAATCCCTGGCAACATCGGATCATCCAGTCGAGGATCTTCCGCCATGTGTCACCGTCCGCACCACTGACGACGATCGTCTGACGGGTGCTATTCTTGATGTTGCCAACCGCCCCTTTGGTAGGGGACAACTCAGCCTCCCACTTGGTAAAAAAGGCAGTAGCGACGTTCTTTGGGAAGTCTTCATACACGACACGGACGACGTCGCCATCGGTGTCAGTGTTGTTCTTGAAGAGGATCGTAACGGTGGGCCCGGCATGGAGAGTGCATTTGGTATCAATTGTCAGTTCTCTGTGTTGGATGTGGTATAGATCGGTAGACTTCCTGCAAAGATTTGGGGCTGGTGTCAGAACTCACCGTTTGAGCTGCAGAATTCAAGGACACAGTCTGCGAAGACTTGGTTCCTGAAGCTTTGTTAGAGATGACCCGAAAGGCTTTGCGCGATGTTCAAAGAGGCTCCCACCGTTGGAAGTTGGTGTTCCTTTTGTTTCGAGGCCATCTCAACGAGGTTGATTGGCCGTCCTCACAGGTCGAAGTGGAGATGTCGCCGGCCCTTTGGACAGTGAGGAACGGGTTCTGGAAGCTCCAGGAAGGCAAGCAGCTGACGATATTTATGAATATGGAAGCTATGCAGAGTATGGACAAGAGGAGGATAGGATCTCAAGCTCTTGAGCGATCGAAGATATTTATGGACAGGTGAGTGACGGGAGCGGATTTTCCCTATTCACCACCAACGCCCCTTCGCGTTGACGCGCTTGTTTCCACGAGACTGGTGGCCACTGTTGTCACCCAACCTTGCTTCACAAGTGGGCTGGAGGCGGCGGCAATGCGACAAGAGAAGTGAAATTGCATGGGGAATATGAATGTGGGACATGAATTGGGGCCATGCAAGAGACGCCCTTGGTGACACAGGGCTATTCAGGCTGGTCAGGCTGGTCGAACACAGGCCTTTTTCACAATACGGCGGAACACAGTGGGCAGAAGTGTCGCCTGGAAGTGCAGAATGCTCTGGTTTTCGTGGCATGATGAGGTCTATATGGCAAGGCTGGCAAATTCTACAGAGCAGCTTGGACACACAAAACAGCCTGTTTGATAATACTTTCATTGTTGCGCGACAGGACATTCCTGACATGGGCAAATGCAACGTGAAACTCTGGGTATCCTATGTAGTGTACGGAGTACAAAGCACCAATATACATCATGGCTGTAGCGTATCACGACGAGACATGACATGGTAGACAAAGGATCAAGGTACATGGTGTACAGCAGTAGCAAATGCATGCGTCACTGGCTCAACAGCGTGGCTGTTAGCAACTCCAAGTGCTCCTTTCAGTCGTCGAACCCGTTCAACCCGGCTTTCCCTTCCTCCCGCAGAATTTCTTCCCCTTTCTGAACGCGCCTCTTCAACTCTTCGGCTTCGGCGGGCCCGAACCATTGTTTCTCGTCTTGTTCTTTCCGCCTGTCGCAGAATTACCGGCGGAGCTGGTCTTTGGCGGCGCAGCTGTAGTTGCTGTTGCTGTTGCTGTTGCTGCTGCTTTCAGCCGGGCTGTTTCCACAGGTGTCCTCGTGGCCGTTGAAGGTTTCATGGGCTTTGCACCCGCTGTGTTGTGCGTGATGAGCCTTTTTGGCGCCGGCGCTGTTGCTCCCCCCACGGAGGTGTTGGTTTTATTCTTGGAAGGGGAAATATTGTTGTTTGTGTTCGTGTTAGCGTTGGCACTGACCCCGTGTCTCTGGGTGGAGGGCAGGTTCGTTGAAGAAGAAGCTGCTGATACTATCTTCTGTTGAGGAGTTTTTGCCACGGTGGAAGGAGATGGTTTGAGAGGAGTCGCTTTCGAAGGAGTGTTTGAGCTTGGTTTGTTCCTTGAGGCTCCTGGTACTGTTGCTGCGGCAGGTTTCACTGATGCTGGTTTCGGCGAAGCAGAAAACGCGGGCTTCTTAGTCGTGTTCGCCGTCGAGGTAGTAGTCCCTGTTTTTTTCGTTGTCGAAGTCGCCGATACACCAGTACTTGCTTTCTTAGCAGGTGTCGTGGTCAGACTTGTCTTCTGTCCATTCGTTGTCTTGGGCGTTTGGTCCACTGAAGGCAGTACCTTATCTGGACTTGGCTGGACTTTTGCTGGAGCTTTCGCCAACCCAGGCTTCAAGCGCGAATCCGCTAATGTCTTCAACGGTGCCGAATTTGTAGACGCAACAGCTGTGCACGCATTGCTCGACAGCGTCGTCACCGTTCCATACCGACTATTCTCCTCTGCTTTCATCGCATCCCAGAAATTTCCCTTCGGAGGATCAAAATTCCTGCCTCCGCTCCGTGTCAGGGGCAGCTTCTTCGTCGTTGGCAGGGCATTTTTTGCCTTCTTTTCCTCTGCAGCCTTCAGATCCTGCCAGAATGTGCCTTTTGATTGTCTGGAGCTTGTTGATGTCGGAACGGATATGACAGATCCACGTCTGCTTCTCTCTTCGGACTCCAAATCATTCGAGAATGTACCCTTTTTCGCGGCGGTTGAGATGACGGAACCATGTCTGCTTTTTTCTTCTGCTTCAATCTGGTTCCAAAAATCGCCTTTGGCCTTGGTATTGGTGACAGGTTTCACTGAACTCATACGAAAAGGAACCAGTCTTCCTTGTTGCCTCTTGGCTTCCTCTTGGGCCAATTGTTGCATGAAATTCTGCTGTCCGTCTGTGATAGTGTCCTGCACCATCTTCTGTGGATCGGACAAGAATGCGTGAATGAAGTCGGCTCTGTTGAGGAGAGTTTGTGCCTGGGGCGAGTTGAGGAGCTTCTGTACAGCCACTGCACCGGCTGTGAACGTCTCGTCCTGCTTACCTGGTTCAAAGAATGAGTCCGATGTCAAGCCACCCAAGGCAGAAGATGCAGATCGGACCCCCTTGCCGGCTTGTTTTCCGGCTTTCTTGATGTCTTCCGTTCCTGCTTGAAGGGCTTGTTTGTTGATGCTCTTCCAAAAGCGCTTCGGGAGGTCACCGTAGAAGATGTACAGTATCATTGCCAGGATCCCCATCGGTGCAAAAATCTGGAGGAATTCGTACCAATGACTTGCACGAATAGGAACCTCCATGTGTCCGCATCCCCGAAGGACTTTGCCAGATTTGTATTTCGTAGCGCCATAGTCGGCTGGGAGTTTGCCAGTCTGGTAGTACTCTTCGATCATGACGTCCTTTTCCCGCCAGCGAGCTCTGAGCCAGAGTTCAAATGCTCTATCGTTGTGGACTGGCATGTCTTTGACGGCGAACCGACGCCAATGCATACGGACGGATTTCGGAAGTCTGCCTTCCAAATAGCCCGCTCTCAAAGTGAAGATGTCTTGTGCGTACTGGCCACGAGGTACACCTTCGTAGACTACAGTACAGTCATACAGGTAGTCTACAGTGTCCTTCAATTCCCCAAGACAGAATTGCAGGCCGGTGCTCCGAGGTAGAAGCACGTGTCTGGTGTCTGAGATGTTGTTCTTCTTTGCCCACGCAGCGCTTCGTTCGCGTGTGCTACGAGCGAGGTTGGTCCCTTCTGGAAAGAGGAGAAGCCACATTGGATCTGTCGGCTTGTTGAGTCTTTGCAGGGCGCTTGCCATATTAGGTTTGTCCTGTTCCCAATTGCGCTTCAAGAATATGAATTGATACAACTGCATGCCCCATCCGAAAACAGGAATCTTCCGCAGCGACTCCTTCAGAATAATGTAAAGGCGGCCATGCATGCCATTGCAGTAGGCTATCCACCACAGGTAAAGCCAATCGGTGTAGATTTGATGGTTCGCAATGAGAACAAGTCTTTCGGGGAAATCCAAAACCAGGTCTCCATCGGTGGATTTCAAGAGCTGTCCTCGCACCGATTTGTCGCCGGAGACGATGACCTTTGTGGGCGCGAATGTCTGGGTCAGCGTCATGGTGAGCAGCCCAAAGGACTGCTTGGTGAAAGCAATCCATGCATTATACCAGTCCTCGTTGATCGCTCGCAACGGAGCTCCCAGGAATTGAGAGATATTGATAGCCAAAGCTCCCGAAAGAAAATAGGTCGACAGAGCCAACGCTCTGGATGCGACAGAGAATTCACCCTTTGCAAGAGGCACGCGATCAGGCCGCTCGGTTCTCGACTCTAGCAAGAAACCCGCTGTAGGCTCAAGCGCAGGTGCTCCGGATTGAGCCATTGATGGTTAACCGTGATTGTCACAGACAATGGATTCGTCTCTTCATCCTGCTAACCATTGTTTGTTACCACCCGAACGGCCACAGTATCGGCGCAGTATTATTGTATGCCGACTAATTTACGAGAAGGCTGGGAATGCTGGACGTGTGCCACCCTGACGTACAAAGGGTCCATATTGGGTTTTCAAACAGGAGGGATCGCCGTTGGGGAGCTGTTTGCTCTCACCCGGCTATGTTCGTAGAGCACCGTTGGTCGGTTCTGCATTCAATTGTGGCGTTCACCCACCATCACTGCCACCAGTTGCCGGCTCGATCTCTACCGTCGGCATTGGGAAGGAGGACGACTGGTGCGACAATGCCAGCAAATAGAAAGGCTGCCCGCTGCGTGGATTTCTGGGCTCATCGTTCTTTTTTGCGGCATCAACGATCGAGGGGATTGTTTCGGAGAGCACATCCTGGTCATGGCGGACCAGATTCACATCTTCTGACAAGGATCAAGTGCTTCAGTGGTGCCAGGAGGTTGCCAAAACTGCCAAAAGCAAGGAAAAGCAGGATAAAGACCGTGGCACTGGGTGGCGGTGCGGCGACTCTCCAATCAAGCTGGTGGTGAGAAGCTCAAGATGACGTTGTCTGTGGGAGCATCTTTGAGCGCCTGTGAGGGTCTTTGGGGGGCGCCAACTTGTCAAGACTTGTCCATATCATTCCTCTTATGCCCCCTGGTGTCGATCGACGGAAAAGCTCTGCAAGGAGCATACTGAGAATAAAGTCTAGTCCTCTTCTTGACATCTCGATCCATTTTTCTTTTCTCCCAAATCTATCTACATATGCTTATGTTCTTGTCTGTGGCCTGATCCAGGTGCAGACGCGAGTTCAAACCCGGTTCCAATGCCTAACGTATCCTTTGATATCTTCTTTGACAAGGACTTTATCAACATCACAGCCACTCGAGGACAAACCGCTCCCAAGGCCAAACCCGAGTGGAAGGTCCGAACTGCTCCCAAGCTACCACCGAAGCCCGTGGTCGAGGATCCTGCTGGGACGCCCAGGCCACCACCGAGACAGAAGTTGACCACCCTTCGTCAGCCCGTGCACCCCCAGAAACAGCAACACACACAAGAGCAGGCACTTCCCAACACCAAGAAGGCCGAGGCTGCTGAAAGCGTCAACGGCTCTGCTTCTGCCGCTGAAGAGAAGCCTAAACGAAAGCCTCCGAAGCTTGGTCCCAGAAAGCCAACCACCCCTGCTACCCCTTTATCCACCCCGGCGTCATAGAGAATGGCAACCCAGTGGGTTTTGGGGAAGGTTAGTGAAGCACTTGCTCCCACCGTATCCAGCACGGTGGCGAGTGCCGGGGCATTCGCAGGGGGAGCGGTCAGTGCGGTGGGCAACAGCATCAATGGAGTAGGAGAGTCAATCAATTCCACAATTCGAAGATATGGGGATGGAGTCAAGGACTATGGAAATGGCATCATGGATTGGACACAAGCTGAAGGACCCAGGGCAGCAACTGCAAGCAACCCTCTGGGGTTAAGTGCTGGCAAGACGGGCGGGAGGCGACAGGTCACCAGTCCTCAAATCTATCGGCCACCAGTGACAACACCAAAGTCGTCTCCTTCCAAGACGTTGATGACGACGAACAAGACGCCAGCACCTCGGAAGAAAATCGAGGGAGGAACCCCGATGAAGCCCTTGCCAGCTCCTGGTCCAAAGCCATCCGATGCAGCCCACAAGGCGACATCTGCTGCCGCCCCTGCTAAGAAGGTCACTTCTGCTCCCCGCAAGCCCGTGCAGTCAGCGGTGAAGACCACCACGGTCCCCAATCCTGGAGCCATGAGGCAACACAAACAGGGAAATGGTGCTAGCAAAGCCGCCGGCGCGACCAAAACACCCACGACACCCAACCCGGGAGCCATGAGGCGGAAGCCCGTAGATGATGGCAACACGAAGCAGCATTCCTCGGTCCAGAAGGTGACTCTTGTCAAGCCCAACACGTCTTCTGCACCAAAGCCGACAGCGACGGCAGTAAATCGACCAAAGACGCAAGGGAATCCTACCGCTGCCGCCAATCCGCTCGGACTCACGTTCTGATTAGTATGATGTCTTCGTGGAACTGGGTGATTTGAAGTCGGGTATGAACTTTTCCGCGCCCTCTCCAGTCACCCAGTGACGCCGTGTCTTTGTAAGAAAGATGTACTAGCATGAACTTCATTCTACCTCGATATCATCAAATTCAGGCTGCCCGGTCCACACCAGCCGGGGTACAATAGGAAAATGAAATAACATGATTGATTGCAGCGTATCCTCGTGGAGGTTAATGGCCTGGACTCGGGGCCTTGACCTTCGGTTCCGGTCTCTGATTGCGGGGCCGGGAAACATGCTCTTCGTCTTTTCATCTGCACTCCGCAGTCTGTACCGATTGACGCCTCGATCTGACTTCCATCCAACCGACCGTCATTGCCGGGACGCGGTCGTCATTCGCGCCCTTTCCCATACGCGGCTGATGGCTGCTAACACCTCAAGCTCTCCTGTCCTAGTCAGTAATGATGATCATCACGTATCTGCAAGCATCAAGTAGGTGGAAACGTTCATACCTGAAGCTGACAAAACCAGACCGCACTTCTTCACATAAATACATGGGTGTGTGTGTCATGCTGTCAACCTAGGACGCCTTCTGAAAGCTGTTCACCTTTTCACCATATCCTCCTCCGCCAGACCTCCAACTCCAGCGCGGCCCAAACATAATGGCAGACATCGAACCATTCACCATCGCTGTCCCTGACTCGGCCCTCTCGGATCTCAAGACTCGCCTTTCCCTTGCTCGCTTCCCGGACGAGCTTGAGGGGGCGGCGTGGGACTACGGCGCGCCGCTCGCGGATGTGCAGCGCCTGACAAGATACTGGCAGGACACGTATAACTGGCGCGAGGCGGAGAAGAAGCTGAACGAGCTGCCCAACTACCGGACCACGATCCAGGTGGATGGCGGCTTCGAGCCGTTGAAAGTGCACTTCCTCCACCAGAGGTCCCGTGTGGAGAACGCGATCCCGTTGCTCTTCGTGCACGGCTGGCCGGGAAGCTTCATCGAGGCCGTCAAGGTCTGGGACAAGTTGCCCGCGCCGGACCCGGGCTCGGATGATCCGGCATTCCACTTCGTCGCCATCAGCCTGCCCAACTACGGCTTCTCCGAGGCCCCCAGGAAGAAAGGCTTCGCCGTCGCTCAGTACGCCGAGACGTGCCACAAGCTGATGTTGAAGCTCGGCTACGACGAGTACGTGACCCAGGGAGGCGATTGGGGTTACTACATCACGCGGGCCCTCGCGCTGCTGTACCCGCAGCACTGCAAGGCGACGCACGTCAACTTCGACCAGGGCGAGGCGCCTTCGCTCCTGAGGCACCCGACGCTGGCGATCCAGCACGCCCTCACGCCATACACGGCGGCGGAGAAGGAAGGCCTGAAGCGCACGAGCTGGTTCCTGCGCGAATCATCGGGCTACCGCGCGCAGCAGGCCACGCGGCCACAGACGCTGGGGTACGCGCTGGCCGACTCACCCGTGGCGCTGCTGGCGTGGATCTACGAGAAGCTGCACGACTGGAGCGACGCGTACCCGTGGACCGACGACGAGGTCTGCACCTGGCTGAGCATCTACTGGTTCTCGACCGCGGGGCCGGCCGCCAGCCTGCGCATCTACTACGAGTCGACGCACGCGTGGGATCCCGACCCGGCCAGGCGGGTCACCCGCGACCGCACGCGCGAGTACATCGGCGGCGGCGTCAAGTTGGGCCTCAGTCACGCGCCCAAGGAGCTGAGGGTGCTGCCCAGCACCTGGACGCGCACCCAGGGCGACGTCGTCTTCGAGCGCAGCCACCCGGACGGCGGCCACTTCTACGCCTGGGAGCGGCCCGAGCACCTGCTGAGGGACGTCAGGGACATGTTTGGCAAGAAAGGCGGCGCGCGGAATGTGGTCAAGGGGAAGAGTGGGTATTGATTTGACACGATGAGAAGAGTGAGAAATATAGTTGGTTGGTTGGTTGGTTTTGACGAAGGTCGTTCTATATCTCCGGGCTGGCTTTCTCGGACGACGATGCGGAGCATAATGGATTGATTGATTTTCGTGGGTCTTTTTCTGATTCAAACACCGCGCAAACCCCAAACAGTCGAGGAACTCTGCATCGGTGTCTATATCCACATCCCCCGAAGCAGGGTTGAACCATCTAGGAACCCAAGCTCCCGAGAGAGGTGGTAGCCTCGAGCACACTGAGCCTGATCTGAGTCTTGCCTGAGCATTGGGCCTTGATCTTCAGCCTTGCCCAGAAGGGACAACCAATGTCTGATGTTTCTAATGTCCTGATCTCTTCGCGGCTGCTCCAGCATCTATCTAGTAACTCGTCTATCTATGCATGTCTTCCCTCTACGTACGGTAGGGATACTCCACACACAAAGAGTCTCCTTTCCCGCCCTCATCGCTTCGTGTTTCGTGGGTGGATCAAGCTGCGTGCTTGCAACTTCCATTACCATCATAATCTGCCTGCCTCAAGTTCCCTCCTCCTCTCCACGGCCTCTCTCAACACCCGGATAACATGTCCCGGGTCCTTGGCGCCAAACACCGCTGAGCCCGCCACGATGACATTCGCGCCGGCGTCCGCGGCCTGGTCGATTGTCGACTCTGACAGGCCACCGTCCACTTCGACGTTAAGATCCGGGTATCGTTGCCGCACTGCCGTCACCTTGGGGAGTTCTGAGGCCATGAATTTTTGGCCCCCGAAGCCAGGGTTCACGGTCATAATGAGAACCATCTGTCAGAATTTACCATGACAAACGTCAGTCCAGTTAGTCGTGTGGATATGGATATGTGCGTGAGGTACGGCAAATCAATCTGCCCCACGCGGGATCATGAAAAGGGTTCGTACATCCGGCCTTTCCTCCTCAAACTCGGCCTCCAATATCTCCCAGAGGACATCGACGCTTGTTTCCGGTTTTATCGCGATGCCGGCCTGCATACCCAGT